TCATAACAGCCCGTCAGCTCGTATGAAAGCTAAACTATAACTAAAACACAGTCTTCCCCTTTCTCCTACTTCCAAAATACAAGTCTAGATAAAGGAGTGTCAAATTTTAGCTGTCACAAATTACACAACCTTGTATTATTGAATCATTATGTAAACCCTTACATTGCACCTTATCGTTCAGCTGGTGACATGTATTTCTGTTCAGTTTATGAGGTAAACGTGGTCGACTCGCATACTTTCCCGACTGCGCCACGGTTGTGTAAGATTGTAACAAACATTATGATTGCTTCGACATATCTGAATCGCTTTTTTGTAACTATATAAATTATTATCTTTAACTGGGAACGATAAATTAAACAATATCTATGACTGCTTAGTACAATTGTAATCGGCTTCGTATATTTTCGCGACACTGAAGATGGCACAACGCCGAAACCGGTTTGTCTCCAAACCAAATTTTACAAGGGATGACGGAAATTCGTTCCAAAACACATCATACACCCACCCTGTCGGAAACAACAACAACCAAAAAGCAAATACACATTTATCGTTATTATTGGAAATGCAAGACTTGGCATGCATTTATAATTTCTTATTTAATCAATTCAAATTAATAAAAACACATTTGTCTAAAATATTTCTCAATTTAAATTTTAAAGTTTTTTTCTGAAACTTGAATGTACCTCTGTGCGGAGAATGAGAGAATTGAAAATCAGGTGATCTCAGTTGTTTTCGAATGTAATCAAACAAAATGGCGCTTTCCATACTTGTAAGCCTATGCAATGCCTGTAACGAAGTCGCTGAAAGTTGAGGTTACCCAAAAGCCAGAAAAACCCATGAGGTCCTTTTCTTTATTAGATATGGTAAAGATATTACAAAATCTATAACTATTTGCATTGAACAGTGTAATACAGTAGGGATGGCAACTAATCATGTATAATATTGAACATTCTGCCCGGTCGAACCATTCGGTTCGAAATCTACAAGCCGAACAAGCTTCTGAATTGCACGAGTGCACATCGCACTTGCTGTCCTTAGTGTGACGTTGCGAATCAATCCCTCAGCCCGGGATGCACCACTCGCCCGAGCCTCCAGCATGTCGGAGGCAATGCCTCTCTCTTCACAAGAACGATATCGCCCAGTCGGATGTTTTCCTCCTTTGAACACCATTTTGATCGACGCTGCAGAGCTGTCAAGTATTCTTCACTCCACCGCTGCCAAAATTGTTGATGCAGCTGTCGTAGCCATTGCCACTGCTTTAGCCGATTAGGTTGCACGTCGATAAGGTCCGGTTCGGGTACAGCTATATTAGGTTCTCCTATTAAGAAATGTGCTAAAGTTAGCGCATATTGATCCTCTGGGTCATCCGTTAGTGGGTAAAGTGGTCGTGAGTTAAGGCACGATTCATTTTTCACGGGTAAAGTATGAAGCTGATTTGGCAGCAGGGTTTGCGCCCAACTACCTTAGATAAGTGACGTTTGGCAGATTTCACAGAAGCCTCCCATAACCCACCTTGGTATGGCGCACTTGGGGTAATGAAATGCCATTTCGTTCGCAGGTGAGCAATAGCCTGCTGGACGTGCCCATTTCTCCTCTTCTTCGCAAAAGAATCGATGAAACTAGATTGGGCACCGAAAAGTTATCGGTTTAATCTGAGATTATCTTTTAATTGCAGATTAACGAGGCATGAATTTTGTATGGGTAATCTCTTTTTCTAATTACAGATAAGGGAGTTAAGCTCGAAAATGAGGATAATCTGCTTATATGTAAACCTAGTAATAATTTATATTTAGGGGATTCCCTTAAACTTGTAAAGTCTTAAACTTTGTAAATTTCGTAAGTTTACGAGGCTGTTACGGGGACGGCTCCCTTTTGCAAATGTGTAAATAGGTGCGTAAAGTGACTGCTTGACAGGTTGAAAATGGTTTTGTGAATACATTTTTGTTTCGTAGTATTTTTCATAACAGCCCGTCAGCTCGTATGAAAGCTAAACTATAACTAAAACGGCGAGAATTAGCAGAAAACTCAGTTAGTGGATGAAATTTATTAATTTAAATGCTACAATCAAATAAGAAAAACCTACTGGTTCACTAATCTGAAAGATAAAATTCGTAGATTAATTCAGAATTGCATCAAGTGCATCATATACTTTGCTCCTGCTCATTCCAATGAGCATAACTTCTTAGTATTCCTAAAAACCCGATTCCATGCGACATCCTCTATTTAGATCACTTTGGTCCGCTACCAGCAATTAGGTCTAAACGTAAGCACGTTCTGGTCGTTATAGATGCCTTCACGAAATTTGTAAAATTTTATCTAACGAATTCTGAGAGTACAAAGGAAGTGCGCTGCTCATTTGATAAGTATTTCAGCGATTCATATAACTGACCTGGGTACCTTTTTCACCTCCCTTGAATTCAGTGAGTTTCTATTGAAAAGGAACGTAAGTCATGTTAAAGTTACAGTAGCGTCACTACAAGAAAACGGGCAGGTGAAAAGGGTCGACCGTGATCTCAGGGCAATGTTAAGAAAACTGCGTGAGTCTGTGGAACATTCGGATTTTCGGACTTAATCAACGGGGCTGCATCATAGATGAACTTACGGAATGTATAGAAGTAAAATTGTCAGATAAAAACACTAGGAATCTTAGTGAAGACCGATAAAATACACTTAGAAACATAGAACGATCCCAGGAATACAACCTACGACAATAATAATAATAATAATCGATTGGCGCTTACACATATGTTAGTGTTTGGCCGAGCTTCTCCTCCGATTTGTGGCGTGCGCCTTGATGTTGTCACACAAAGAAGAGGGACCTACAGTTTTACGCCGACTCCGAACGGCGATTGTATTGTAATGAGAAGCTGTTTTTCATGGCAGAAATTCACTCGGAGGTTTGCCATTGCCTGCCAAGGGACGACCGCTGTTAAGAAAAACCCTTTTTTCTATATTTTTTGCGATGTTGCTTTGACCAGGGCTTGAACCTAAGTGCTGCGGTGTGGAAGCGGGCACTGCTTACCACTACACCACAGCGGCCGACATACGACGATACCTCTTAAAAAAAGTGTCCCCGCCAAGACATACTCAGTAGGAGATTTCGTAGACACACTGACACCACAGCTGGATCCAATAAGAAACTTCATCGTAAATATAGAGGACTTTATGTTATATATAAAGTGTTGCCAAACGACCGTTATGTTATCAGAGATATAAACAACTGCTAATTGACACATTTACCATATGATGACGTTGTTGAAGTCACAAAAATTCACAAATGGTGCTCGCCAACCAATGGGAACAACGATACCTCCAGTCACCAATGGCATTAGGTCCCACAGCCTCAACAATAAATGTCAGCTGAGTTGTCCCTTCTTGTTATCTACGCACATATCAAACAATATTTCAATGTAAAGCGAAAATTTGGCTGCGGCGTTTTTTTAAATATACATATATATATATATATATATATATATATATATATTTTATACTTTTATTTGCAATCTATCTTTCCGACAATAAGCGAATGTTATCAATATTTGGTATAAACTTAACCTATGTACGTAACAGGAATGGTTAGCCTCCAGTGAATTTAACCATTATATACCATTTTGTTTTAGGGACTTTAAAATTCTTTATCTGGTAAGTCTAATATGTGACACCGCTTTGAAAGTCGGGTAGCCTGACTATTATCTAAGAGATTAATAGCTAAAGTATTATAGCGGCTGTTAAGCCTATTGATATATTTTGTGCTAGTTTTTAATATCTCTTCTTTAACATATGGTATAATGAGATCTTTATGTAATTCATCATTTTTCACATACCAGGGAGCACCTGCTAAGAGCCTTAGAGTTTTAGATTGATAACGTTGGAGTATTTCAACATTTGGGTGGCTTGCCGTTCCCCAGAGATGTATAGCATAAGTCCAAATCGGTTTAAGAACTGCTTTGTATATAGTCACTTTATTTTCCAAGCAAAGCTGTGAGTTCTTTCTAAAAAGCCAATATAATTTCTTTGTTTTTTGGTTTAGTTGCTTAACTTTAGCTTTAATATGTGCTTTCCATGTCAGCCTTCTATCAAGACGTACACCAAGATACTTAACTGTCGTAG